TTTGGAACTTCCCATGATCTTCCATATATATCATCTGTGTACCTAACTTCAACACAAATTGTTCCAACCAATAATATTTGATTAGCTTTCACATAATAATGTCTCATTGGTAGTGAAATCAAAGTATATTGCAGGTGAAGATAAAACAGTGACATAATTTGATTTGAACCATTAACTCAGTATCTCACTCCAAGAGATAGTGCATGTAGTCACTTACGAGAATATAAAATTACTTTAGCTTATTTTTTCTTTGACTCGCTAGCTAAGTAGTAGAGTAAATATCTGAGTAAACAAAATATAAAGTTTAAGCCAAGTCACCTGATGAAGGAATTGTTATCTTCAGAGGCACCAAGGTTAACTCTTGTGAGGAGATCTAGTGTTAACAAAGTGAACGAACTTTCATAAATGGAATTGTCCAAGGGCCATAGTTCTAACAATGAAATGAAGGGCACCCCTTGATCGATGTTCACAAGGCATAAATCAATTGTTTCTGTTGATGCAAAATGAATAGCTTCGACTCGAATAACAATATCAGCCTCCGTAGAGTTTATTGTCTTGAAGAAATTGACTCCAAGATGCAAATCAAAAACTGGTGGTTTTTGTTTGTTGTCATAGTTTCCATATGCAAAGTAAGCTCTGATTATGTATTTCTTGTTCTTTCCCTGTTTGGGTGTCAAGGTATAGCAATTTCTCTTCCCATAAGGGAAACTTCTCAATGTGTTCAACTGCTTCTGAATTTGACTTACATGGTCAAAGTTGTAAATTGATGATGTGTAATAGATTTCACCAAATTTGATATCATCTGCTTGATACTGCAAGTTGGTTTTCTTGTCAGTGTAGCCCTCGTTTACACCACAATCAATGCTTATAACACCTACAAATTATGATTACATTGGATAATTCATGGGTTAAATGGAGATATCAGTGATCATATATTTCATCAATATTGTTTCTACGATTGGACTAATTCAACCCAAAATCATGAGTGGGAACTATAGGTTGATTTGAGTGAGTCCTACCCAATTTTTTTATGTATGTTTAAGGAGAACTCAATTTTCTTATATTTGGAACCAAAAACTAAAAAAACAGCCTTAGCAAAAAAGTAATTGATTATAGATATTTGAAAACCCCAGAAAAAAAAAATACAATCTTGCTTTATTTTCAGTACATTAACTTCATAAAGTATTTTAATTCATGTTAATAAAATAGTTTTGTCTTATTTTATTATCTTACATGCCTTCCTTTTGTCTTAAAGGAGTTAAATTTTCGGAGAGAGAGAGAAGACAATATCCTTTTAAACTAAAACAGTATTTTTAATGTAGTTATGTGTTACATGACAATATTTGGCTTTGAAATAGAACAAAGAAGAAATGGTGGAGAAGGAATGGTTGGTGTAGATTCATACCTGAATAATCAATACTGGCAAGGTTCGAGTGAGGCCATTCAGTGTTCTGAGCAAGTATATTAATGAGTGATGAAGCACAAATTGCTGAAACAAGAATCCATTGCAATTCTCTCTCCATAGTAGTATTTTACACTTCATAAAAATGGAGACTAAGTTTACATATAAAGGAAACTCTTGAGAAGGATGGCAGAAGGTGAGTATAAATAATTAACAGAGCAAAGAATGGGTAATTAAAGAGGTAGGTAGGCCAACTAAATAACATCCCAGAAAGAGACTGTAGGCCATATTAATTTATTAAGTTATTAAGTTTAGTCATTTTCGTCTTAGTTGTAATAATATTTTTATGTATTTTTGTAATAATTTGTATAAATAATTTATAAAACGAATTACATGTAGTTAGTATTTTATTTTAATACACTCAATATCTCAGGTTACTTACTTAGAGTAGGGAAAAAGATAATTTATAAACACTATGTTTTTTAAAGGATAGTAGTTAGAGGATTATAATAGGTTAAAAGATGAGATATGTTATAATATAATTATTATTTTTATCACTTAATAAAATTATTTTTTGAATGTTTCGAACAAAAGTACATTAATGTGAGTAAATTAAAAGTAAAGAATGTATAGATTATTATTAATCTTGATTCTTAAGTGAGGTAAAATTTATGAGCCATCAATATTTATTTTTTATATAAGTATTATATTGTAAATGTGAGTGTGTTTGATATTTTTATTTTCTTTTTCATTCAGAAATGTCGGAACGAGGTGTTACGCAAAATGTAGAAAACAACTTTGTTTTATAATTTAATAAGAGGTTAATTGCATCGAAACCATGGGCATATATACTTAATTTACCTATGATTAAATCTTATATTATTGCAATTTTTTATGCTTAATACGATAAAGTGGTAGATGAAATAATTGTTTTACACAATTATTTTAATTTAATTGATAAGAAATCAATATGAACATTGACTAATAGTCTATGTACATTGACTTAATCAAAGCATGGGACCCAAAATTTTAGTTTTGTGGTAGTTATTTGTGCATGAAAATTTGACTCTATCTTTGATTGAAATTTTCAATATCGATACTACCGTGATTCATTAAAACTTTTATTAATATTGATTGCATGTTGAGTTAGATTGAATTAAGTTTTTATTTTATTTAATTTAATCTAACTTAATTCACTTTTATTTAAGTCGGTTTAGATTAGGTTAATATATAGATTTTTAAAAATATTTTTTATTAAAATTTTAAAATAAACTAAATTATTTATTATTTAAATAATTTAATAATATAATATCTTAAAAATATATATTAAATAAATATAATAATTAAATAAACTAATTAATAATTTTATTATTATTATTATTATTATTATTATTATTAATTTTAAACTAAATTAATAATTTTGATTTAGTAGATTTGATTGGATTTAGGATTAAATATATAAAATCCGTCGTCTAATTTATAAGAGATTGAGTTAATCAATAAAAAAATTCAACTCAATTTATTTGAATTGGATCTTGATTTACTAATCCAAAAGATACTATAATCAGTTAGATATTCAATTAGTATGATTTATTATTATTATTATTATTATTATTATTATTATTTTATTTATAAGAATCACCATAATTTATTAGGGAAAATACATAATTTGCAACTTATATAAGTTATATTTCACATGTCCTTTGTATAATTAATTTTTTATTAGTTTTTTCTCTAACAATAACATTGAATGAGTATGTCAATAGGCTTTACATAAATGTTCCATTAAAATTCTGAATATAAGAAAATAAAAATTATTGTTTAGACGTGTTTAAAGAATATAAATAGCATCATATAATCTGTTATAATGATAAAAATGTTAAGTAACATGTTTATTATAGTTAAGTAGCTAATTAGTCATCAATTCATACAATATCGCCATTAAATTGTTAAATAATTAATAAGAAGACTATTCTTTTAAAGTAGAAAATTAAAACAATAAAAAATAGAATGCCCATATCTTTAATAAAGTAAAGTGATATAACTTTATTATTACAAAGAAAAATTGAAAGAAATATCCGTTAAATTCACAATCAAAATTAAATATATACATAGTAGCAAAAGAAAGAAAAAGTCATAAAGAACATGACTTGACAAAGGCCAAGAACAAGGATTGATAATGAAGTTTGAGTTAGAGAAGTGTGTTCATGATGGTTGGAACATGTGGTTGTAAGAGACGCTGAGTATTTGTTCACTAAGATATTATTTAATCATAATTAGACTCGTCAAAAATAAAAATTAATGTTCACTAATATGAAAAAAATATAGGATGGGAAGGGTATAATACTATGAAGTTTGAGTTGTGATTTTATGTAACTGAGTGTAAGGATATAAAGGGATTAATAAAATTTATTAACCAATCCATTAAAAAAATTTGAATTTTGTTTAGTTTGGATAAAAAAATTTAAACTCTTTTAAACTTAATTCAATTTAATTTCATTTTAATTGATTAAATTGAGCTGGTCAATTTAAAAAAAATATTTTTTTGTTAAATATGTAATTTTACATTTATTTTTAAAATAATTTTTTAAAATATACTATAATATTTAATATTCAAATCATTTAATATTTTAAAAATATATATTTAATTAATAGGATAATTAAATAAATTAAGTAATAGTTATAAATATGATTATTTAATAATTTTGACCAGATTGAATTATATTTAATTAGTTTAGATCTTATATTCAATATACAAAATTTATTAATCTAATTTAAAATTAATCTTTTACTATATTAGGTGATGTAGTAAGTTACTACATCCATTAATTAAACAATTAATTGAGTAGATGCTTTTATCATGGAATTATCATACATTATACAAAACATTTTTTTCTCGAAAATTTCGATTTATCACCAATTAAGGCTAAAAAGTAGATTTTTTTTCTTCTTACAAAGCAAAATTCTTATGTAATTGATTATGAAAAAAAATTATAATCATTCTTCAATATTTTTTATTTAAATAATATTTTTTTATCATGTTTTAAATTAAGAGCAATGACATTTTGACACTCTCCTATCAAATAACTATTTCTACAATCATTTTTATTAATATAATAATAATAAAAAAATTAATAAAAAATAAATTATTATTATCATAATATTGAAAGTGGATTGTTTTTTAAAATTGTATGGATTCGGGGTGTGAAAATATAATTTTTGTTAAATTAAAGATGACCTCCAAGGCTCTATATGACATATAGATTCACTTCTTCGATGATTGACACGTGTAATAAAGTTAAAATCATCTTTAACATATTTGTAGTTTTTGTTTTTTCTTCAAAAACTTTAAATTTCCACTTATTGTGTAACACAAACATGTATATATTTTCATCATGAAAATGATAAAAAAAAAAGAAAAGTGAAGCATAAATATACGAAAGATACGAATCAATGAAAATGAAATAAAAATGAACTTTAACATATACATCCTTACCTAAAACTAGGTCCAATAACTAGTATAAATCAAACACAGAGACAATTATATTGTGGAAAAATAAATGAATTTATGTGGAGCTAATTTAGGTGGGGGCAAATCCTACCTAGGATTTGGAACTATATCAGATTCATTGAAATCAATCAGCGTATAATCCATGAGGAATGAATCTAATTTGTTGCTCACATTCCTTTGAAGGGATACTTCCAAAGACAAACAATCCTTTAGTTCTGAGGTTATGTGACTTATGTCAGGCCTTTGGATGGCAACATCTGGAAGACAAGACATACCTATCTCCAAAAATTTCCAAGCTGAAGCGACACTGTAATTTCCTTTTAATCTTGGATCAACTATAGCATGGATATCTCCAGCTTCAAGTTTGAGTTTAACCCAATAATGTATGTGACTAGGTTTGTCAGGAGTTCCTCTTATTGCTGGTTGACCAGTAATTAGCTCTAACAAAATTACCCCAAAACTGTAAACATCACTTCTTTTATTAAGAGTCCCCGAGGAGTGATACCTGTAAAGATATCAAGAAGTTAAAAAGTGGTATTAATCTGTGTTGAATCACAATGATTACCATGAACTAACTAAATAAACAAGAAAATGAACAATGCATACACGGTTGAAGTTTACAATTTACCATCCTTTGATTACTTTAAGAAGAAAAAGTTTATAAGGACAACAACCAAAAAAGGTTCTGTTATACTTACTCAGGATCAAGGTAACCTGGTGTGCCACCGGGGTAATTAGTTAAGACATGAGTGTCATTGTCATTTGCAAAAGTTCTAGACAATCCAAAGTCTGAAATCTTGGCATGCATGTTTTCATCAAGTAAGATGTTGGAGCCTTTCAAATCTCTATGAATTATAGGTGGCTTGCATCCATTATGCAGATAATCCAATCCTGTATATATAGTTGTAACTGGTTGTTGCAATGGATTATGAAAGTAAATAACTACAAGAGAATTATGATGTTAGTTTTGTTCATTTACCGCTTGCTGCATCTAAGGCAATTTGAAGTCTCTCTTTCCATCCCAAGACATTCAAGTTTTTATCTACAAAAGAAGCTTACAGGTTTCGATGAGAATTGCTAATTGCTTTGTTGTTTACATTGATACGTGCATGAGTGAAAGTAATTAGTGATCATTCTTCCAATTGTCAATGCGAAAAAAAAGGGGACCAATTTGCATTGCATCTTAGCCATTTGCATGTGGTTCTGGCAAAATGGAAAGGTGTTATTATCATGTTATGTTATGGTAAAGAAAATTCACAAACCTGACAATTGTTCTTGGAGATTTCCTTTTGAAAGATATTCGTAAATAAGTGCTTTAGCATCACCTTCATCACAATACCCCACAAGAGAAACCACATTTCTATGATGAACAAGTGTTAGAAATTTTGCCTGCAGTTTAGAAATGTTTAATATCTTGACTTAATGAAAATATGTCGTTGTGTAAATTCAAGAAAGGTGAAGAAAGGAAAAAGAAAAAAATAAATAAATAAAGACTTATCAATTGTTGCATCTAACCTCGGACTTAAACTGTTTATAACCTTGATTTGATGATAAAGAAAGTGTCTTTACTGCAACTCTTTCGCCACTTTGCAAAGTACCAAGATAAACTTCACCAAATCCACCTTTTCCAATCATTGTTTTGAAACCATCGGTGATATCATGAATCTGTGAGTAAGAAAATGTTTGATTTTTCAATTTTAATTGCTCTTTATTTGAAGTCGAAGATATCCCTGAAAAAATGTAAAAAGGAAAAATCACATACCATCTGGTAGTTCAAAAAAGAGTGGATATTCTCTCTCTTGCATGAGAATGAATATTCCTAAAGAGCATAATATATAGGAGCAAAGTGAAATGAAAAAAGAAAAAAATCTAAAACATGAATTACATAACTATGCTAGTTGAATCCTTAAGCGAAAGTATCATTTTCTGAGGAAATATGATATGAAATATGAGTATACCTCCTTCATTTTTTCTGAGTGATCTCCGAATCGCCATAACTATGCCCACTATTATTAAAAAGACAACAACTGATGCTATAGTTGCAACTACTGGAACAATATTCTTATTCTTTTCGCATGATCCTATCTCACATATACCACCATTTCCTTCCAAACTGAAATATTAATGTATGCAAGTGTCAGTTACATGCAATATAATAAATACGAAAAATAATTTTAATTCTATCACATAATGTAATTTTTGTTTCCTTAACTTTTCAACTCCTAATTTTGAATTTCTAAGTTTATAACATGTTATGAGCAAACCTCAATTGCAAATTTGACTTCTCTATGAGAGCACCAGGAATGGAACCTGTGAGATTATTCCTGGACAAATTACTGCAATGATATGTTGCCAAGTGTTAGATACATTCTTTATAAAATTAAAAAAAAAAAAGTAATATAATAAGTTTATTTATAAATTAAAATTAATTATGAATTGAAACACGAAAATCTGTTGTCATTCTCAATTTGACAACTTACAGGATCTTCAATTGTGGTAACTTGGCGAAGAATTCTGGAACCTGTCCCACCAATTCGTTGTTTGACAGATCCCTGCAACATATAGTAGTAACTACTGTTTTGGTTATGGTAACTTAATTAACCTCCACACGTATTTAGAGTAAGTATATATTGAAACATTATATTCAACAAAAATTAATTAACAGAACTTACAAAATCTCTAAATTTGCAAGGTTGGAGAATGTGGAATCTATGTCGCCGGACAATTTACTTGAGCTCAAGTTTCTGCTTAAATTTCATTCAGAATATAAATGCTTGTCATTGTTCAGTAACGTTATACATTTTGTCACTGAATGCTTATATAATAACATTTTCTGGATAAAGTTATTATAGAAACCACATAAAAAATAAATAAAAAATGAAATATCATGAAAAAATTACTTACAATGAGATGATTCTGGGAGGATCATTGGTATTACAAGTGAGACCATCCCATGTAAAACCCTTTGGTCCGCAGGGGTCTCCTTGCCACTTGATTCTGGAGATCTTATAGATATCTCTGATGCGTTGGATAGCATCCACTGATATTAATTTCCCATAATAATCAGAACTTCAGGATTTAGATAATGAACTTTGTAGTAAAACAAAATTTCAATATATAGACGAACATATTATTTTATTTGATTCAATATATTATTTTTAATATATAGTATTAAAAATTCTAGTATAAGAATTATCAAGATTTAAAAAATAATAAAAAATATTTCTTAAACTCTATGTCTCAACTAGGTAAAAATGAAAGTTCAGATAGAAAATGAAAGAAAGTTACCATCGTCTTGGTGCGTGGCTGAAGCAGACTGAGGAATCACTCTATAAATCTCATAAGCATTGAGCATGGGAGGTAAGTGAGAGTGAGAGGTGGCTTTAATGAAAATGTTATTGATTCCCATCCCCTGTTCTACGGTAAGTGGGACGGTAAGAGGGTCACGGTGCGAAAGGCTGATGGTTTTTGTGACATTATTCTTATTCTCATCAACACCGTCACCAAAGCCATTAACAATAATGTTCATTATCCTTTTCTCACTGTTATCTACCCTTTCTTCAAAGTCGAAGAAATGAAGATATACTTTATATTCGAAACTCGTGTCACTGTAACTCCTCCATATATTCACCGAATCAGACAACCTCCTTGCACTCACTGCAGTGTTCAAAACTTCTGTAGGCAACTTGTAAGGATCATTTATTGCATCCAAATCAATAGCTAATGTTGTGTTCATTTCTTTCTCGTTACGGGTTACTGGTCTTGCAAGCCAAGACCTACCGTATTTGTCATCCATGTACCTAACAATGATCAAATAAACAATGTTGATCAAGCGTTCAGATAGTAGGGTTATTCATTTCTGTATTTTGTAGTTTATTACAGTATTTTCTTATATACATTAGTCTTTATATTCAAAGCCTTTATTGTTATTTTTTTACTTAAACATGTTCTTAGTTCTGATAAAATAAAGCTGTTTTGATAAAATAAAGTTTACAATAATTATATTTAATTTTTGAAAAATGAGTGAATTTTGATTTTATCTATATAAAACTTTTTTATTTTTACTTTTGTGTTTAGTTTCTAACTTTCTCTCGTACCAAAAACTAAAAAAAATCACTGTGGCTCTATTCCTTTTTCTTTTGGTTTCATTTCTTTTTCACTTTTCTTTGTCAATCAAGCGCAGTATTAAAACAATTATTGAATGAATAAACAAGCAAATATATGAATTATGCTGGTAACCGGAAAACAAAACAACACTCAATATTTCTCCTAATATTTCAAATGAGTTATTACAAGTATTTATGTATAAAATATTTGTCTTTTCAAATGCCAAAAGTAAATTATGATGCATATTAAATAAGTTTACAACTCATTGGTTATACCACTTGTACTTGAAACCATTAATATTATTCTAAGAATATTAAACGTTTAATTTAAGTTTTACAATAAATCTCCCCCCTTAAACTTAAATACTCTTCTCTTCTCTTATTCCAATAATTCTTTTATAACTCTTCAACAATGTAGTTGACAGTGGTTTGGTAAATATATCAGCAACTTGAGCTTAACTTTCAATATGCTCCAGCTCAACCTTTCCTTCTCTGACTTGTTCTCGGATCAAATGAAATCGGACATCGATGTGTTTGCTCCTTCCATGATTAACCAGGTTCTTTGCCAACTCGATTGCCGACTTGTTGTCAACTCGAATTACAGTCTCTTCGTCTTGGATCACTCCCAGATGCCTTAGTAGATTTGAAAGTCAGACTGCATGACACCCACTCTAAGAGGCTGCCATATACTCGGCCTCGCAGGTTGACCGAGTTACATGCTTTTTTGACAGCCAAGTAAAAGTTGTTTTTCCGAGTAGGAACACATAACCTGAAGTACTTTTCCGGTCATCAACATCACCACATCAATCACTATTCAAGTAACACACTAGTCGGTACTCATCCGATTTTGAATAGAAAAGACCAAGTGATAAGGTTCCTTGAACATATCTCAGAATTCTCTTTAAGGCCTTCCAATGTGTGTAGCTTGGATTCTCCATGTATCTACTCGTTATCCCAACACTTAGCATTAGGTCGGGTCTTGTGCTTGTAAGGTACCTCAGACTTCCGATTAAGCTTCGATATCTCCCAGAATCAGCTCGTTCTCCTCTACCAAACTTTGAGAGTTTAGTGTCTGGTTCCATTGGAGTAGATACCGGGTTGCAGTCCTCCATTTTAAACTTCTTTAAGCGCGTACCTCTCTTGGGATATAAAAATTTCTTCCTCTGACTGCTTCACTTCTACACCAAGAAAATATTTCATCAGTCTTAAGTCTATCATTTTGAGCTCTTTCTTCATTACCTCCTTGAACTCCTTAATTAGCTTCGTATTGCTTCCGGTGAATATGAGATCGTCGACATAGAGAGCGATTATCATCGTATCCTTTTCTGATTTCTTTGTGTACAAAGCATGTTCGTATGGACATTGTTCATACCCATTTTTCATGAAATACCCATCAATTCTCTCATTCTAGGCACGAGGAGCCTGCTTCAGCCCATAGAGAGCTTTTCTTAATCTTAACACCTTTTTCTCATCCCCTCTCTTCATGTACCCTAGTGGTTGTTCAACGTACACCTTCTCCTTCAGCACTTCATTTAGAAATGCCGACTTCACATCCATCTGTAGAATCGGCCATTGGTTTTGAGCAGCTAATGAGATCAGAAGTCGGATTGACTCCATTCTCGTGACAGGAGCAAATACTTCATCATAGTCAATTCCCTCCTTTTGTCTATAGCCCTTCACCACAAGTCGAGTCTTGTAACGTTCAACCTCTGATATGAATTACAAGGGGGAATTTAGGATCTTTAAGGTTAGAACCTTGTAGGAAACTTAGGAATTTAGTGATAAGGTGGAAGGAAAGAATCATTCTTTCCAAGGAAGGCAACACACAAAGGATGTGAAAGTCCTTTGATACAGCCAAATATTCTTGAATCACTCAAGAACTTAGGAGAATCACTCTCACTAAGATAAAAGAGATAAACTCTAATATTTCTAAAAATAAAACTCAACTTGTTATTTCTAATAAAAATGGTTCAACTTATAAAGAAACTTTGTCATCGAATTACAAATATTCAAGTAAAAGAAAATAAATGCTAATAATGATTTATTAACCTAGGAATTGAAAATTACTTAATGATTGATTATAATCGAAATTGTGGCATCCAAAAGTCAATCAGCTATGCACCCTCTTGGTCTCCCAAAGACTGATAACTAAATTTTCCATTGGGGCCTAATTACAACTTGCAATAAAACTAAACTAAAGTCCATTAATTGATTAATTCAAAACACAATTTGGTCAACCAACAATACTTGTTGAAGAGCTTCATTTGCTTCCCTTGTTCTAGCCCTTATCATAGGTCATGTTCACATCATTATCTCCCTCTTGAAAAGGATTTGTCCTCAAATCGGATTCGTCATCTACATTAAAAAGAGCTAAGTCTAACAAATTGAATGTAGAACTAACATTATACTCATTTTTTATGGCTAAATAGCTCTCCTTCACTTCAAACGTTTTACTCTTCTCCTTTTTTTTTCTCTTTTCTTGAAGAATTTTTTCTCTTATTTTCTTTTTATCCTTCTCTGTTATCAATTTGATGTTCAAACCTTTAAACCGGGGCTCTGAATACCAAATGATATGAATCACAAAGGATAATTTAGGATCTTTAGGGTTAGGACCTTGTAAGAAATTTAGAAATTAGAAAGAAGGTGGAAGGAAAGAATCATTCTTCCCAAGGGAGGCAACACACAAAGGATGTGACAGTCCTTTGATACAGCCAAGGGTTCTTGAATCACTCAAGAATTTAGGAGAATCACTCTCACTAAGATAAAAGAGATAAACTCTAATATTTCTAAAAATAAAACTCAACTTGTTATTTTTAATAAAAATGGTTCAACTTATAAAAAAAAATTTCCATCAGAGTTACAAATATTCATTAAAGGAAAATAAATGCTAATAATGATTTATTAACCAAGGAATTAAAAACTACTTAATGATTGATTATAACTGAAATTGTGGCATTCAAAAGTCAATTAGTTATGCACTCTCTTGGTCTCCCAAAGACTGATAACTAAATTTTCAATTGGACCCTTATTACAACTTGTAATACAACTAAACTAAAGCTCATTAATTTATTAATCCAAAACACAATTTGGTCAACCAACAATACTTGTTGAAGAGCTTCATTTGCTTCCCTTGTTCTAGCTCTTATCATAGGTCATGTTCACATCAACCTCTCCCTCAATATTCATCTTCTTTTTGTACACTCATTTTACTCCAATGGGTCGAGCTCCTTTAGGAAGGTCAGTCAGCTCCCAAGTTTTGTTGCGTTCAATAGCTCCAATCTCCTCATCCATGGTTGTTCTCCACTTCTCATCTTGGACAGCTTTCTCAAAATTCAAGTCTTCAAAGTCAGCCAGAAGACATACAACATGAACTTCATTTGTAGTGTCGTATATTTTCAGCAGACTTCTTATCCTGGGTTGTTGTGGCTCTATTTCTTTATCTGAGGACTCAATGGTTGTTATTGTTGAAGGCACAACAATTTCTGAACTAGTTTCTTCTTCTGCCGGGTTACTCCAGCACCAATGTTTTGTTTCTCTCGGCTTACCACCACTTTATTATTAACAGAATCAAACAATTTAAACGCTTTAGATTTTCCATCATACCCGATAAATATGCACTTCTTACTTCAATCTTCTAATTTAATCTTGTACAACTTTGTACTTGTCCATAGGCCACGCTACCAAACACCTTCAGATGAGAGACACTCTGCTTTATACCACTCCATATCTCCTGAGGCGTCTTCTCACCTAACTTTGCATATGGACATCTATTTTGCAAATAGACTGTGCACTGCACCGCCTCTGCCCAAAACTTCATTGGCATATTCTTCCCTTTCAACATAGATCGAACCATATCAAGAATGGTTCGGTTCTTTCGTTCCACTACACTGTTTTGCTGCGGAGAATATGGGGCAGTCAGGAAACGTTTAATCTCTTGTTCCTCACAGTATTTGTTGAACTCAGTAGAAATGAACTCGCCTCCTCTATCAGATCGGATTGCTTTGATGACTTTGATTATTTCTTTCTCCACCATCACTTTGAATTTCTTGAAAGTTTCAAACACTTCCTACTTCTCCTTCACAAAATAAACTTACATTTTCCTTAAAAAATCATCAATGAAAGAGACGAAGTATCTCTTACCACTAAAAGATTCTGGAGTTATTGGCCCACACAAATCAGTATGGATCACTCCGAGTTGCTGCTTTGCTCGACACTCAGAACTTCTTGGGAAAGAAGTCCTCGCTTGCTTCCCAATCACACATTCTTCATAGAACCTTTTTTTGAATTCCATTTTAGGCATTCCGAGCATCATCTCCTTTTTCATCAACGTAGTCAACCCACTAAAGTGAAGATGACCAAATCGAAAATGCCACTTCATGGCCTCGTCCTCCATATCAAATTGCATGCATTTATCTTGAACTATTTTCAGCTCAAATTTGTACATGCGATTTTTCTTCATTTCCACCAAAGCAATAAGCCTCCCGAATTTATCCTTCAGTTGTAGTTCTCAGTCCTTCATCAGAACCGAGTACCCCTTCTCCATTAATTGTCTCATGCTCAATATGTTGCTTTTGTGATCAGGTACGAGTATACATCTATCACTACAACAAAAACATCAAATAGTGACCGAATTTTCGGTCACTAAATGATCAAAATCGGTCACTAACTAAAATAGTGACCGAAATAGTAACCAACCCAAATCGGTCACTATTTCCTTGGTCGCTGATTTCGATGATCGAATCGATGACCGATTGAGTCAATCACTAACGTAAACATTAAAAAATTAAAAACATTAAAAATATTTTTGTATAACCTTAAAGTTAAAGACTAATACTCCAACCACTAAACTATTAGGAATTATTGATAAAAGTTTATAAATAAATTATATTTATATACAAATAAAAATATATATCTGTGTAAATATATAAATATAAAATATATAAATACAAATACAAATATATATATATATATATATATATATATATATATATATATATATATATGTTGATGTGAGGCGCTGTAGAGGTTGAAAGTGTGTCGAGTGGATTTTTAAAATTTGATGTCAAATTTGTAAGCAGGTCTCTTTATATGAGTTTATAATTTAATGACACAATATAATCTTTATAATTTATTTATATAATGATATAAAATAATTTTTTTCTTTATTTATTTTTATTTTATTTTAATTTATTCTTCTTATATTTTTTTCTTCTATTATTTAATTAAAATTCTTATATTAACATAATTTTTTCAATATTTAAAATAATTAAATATTTATTTTTAAAATTATTTAATTTAACAAATTATTATAAATTAATCTAATTATGATTATTAATAGAACAATTTTTTCCTAACATATATTATTATAAATTAATCAAAATCATCTTTTAATAATTATTTTTTCCAGACATAGATTAATTCATAATAATTTGTTAAATTAAATAATTTTAAAAAATAATTTTAAAAATAAATATTTAATTATTTTTAATAATGAAAAAATTATTTTAATATAAGAATTTTAATTAAATAATAGAAGAAGAAAAAAGATAAAAATAATAAATTAAAATAAAATAAATAAAGAAAACAATTATTTTATATCATTATATAAATAAATTATAAATATTATATTCTATCATTAAATTACAAATTCATATAAAGAGGCTCACTCACAAATTTGACATCAAATTTTGAAAACTCACTCGACACACACTTTCATCCTCTAGCGTGATCCTTACATCGAACATATAAATATATCAAAATATATAAATATGTTTGTATTTATATATTTACACGGATATATATTTATTTGTATATAAATATAATTTTTTTATAATTTTTTATTAAAAAATTCTAACAGTTTAGTGATTGGAGTATTAGTATCTAACTCTAAAGTACTCGGTTTTGAATCTTATTAGATATAATTTTCTTAATCTGATTAAAAAAATTGTTAATAAGAGAAATTATATATTTTTGTGGAAATTAGAGCAACTAAATTGTTGTTATGGACTAAAACCCAAAAAGTAAAAAATAAAAAATATAATTAAATAAAAGAAAAACTATATACTTTTGCATTTTTATTTTCAAATATTAGTTTTTTTATGAAATTATTTTTAATTAAAATAATTAAAGTGATATATATATATATATATATATATATATATAATTTTTTATTTTAATTTATTAATATTATCAAATTTTAGCTTCATGATTAAAAAAATACCAATAATTTAAATTTTATTAATTCTATAATTTAATATAATTATTATTATAAATTTAATTCTCCAATAACTAATAATATTAAGACATTTATTAAATTAAAATTCTTTATTTTAATTAATTATTTTGATTTTTTTTAACAATTTTTTTAAATAAAAACGATAAAACTTAAAATTAATTTCTAACTAAATCTTCACAGATTTATGGTTAATAGTATATTATATTATTATGTTTAATTAAATTTTAAAATAAGTTCACTTAATCTTTACACTTTTATAAAAATACTAATATAAACTTAAAATATTTATCCAATTACTAAATTATTTAAAATATTAATATAAATTTAAAATATCAATTCAATAATTAAAATAATTTTAATTTTTTTATAAATACATTGAAATACATTTTTATTAACATAAAAGTAATATATATATATATATATATATATATATATATATATATCAAAAAGAGACTAAATTAATAATTAATTTAATCATTGATTATATATATATATATATATATATATATATATATATATATATATATATATATATAAGAGATTAAATTAATAATTACTTTAATGATTTTGACTAATTTAATAATTAATTTTAATTTTTTTATTCACATACTAAATTAAAAAATAAAATCAAATAATTATATTACTAAATTATTTAATAAGTTAATAAACTATGTTTTAAATTTTTTATAATATTATTAAAAAATTTATCAATTATTTTAAATTATTAAGTAGATTTATATTTAATATATTATTAAAATACTTTTAAAAATTATTTATATAAATAAAAAATGGTCACTAATTTATATATTATTTGTTTAGTGACTAAAATTTTAGTCACTGAAATCAGATCACTATATATAAAAAGAGAAATCAGTCACCGATTCAGCTTACTATTAAGTAATCGAATTTTTCTGATCACTAATTTCGATCATTATTAACCATTTTTCTAGTAGTGATCGAATCAATGACTCGATTTGGTGACCGAATCAATGATCGATTTCCGTGACTAAAATTTTAGTCACTAAATATAAAACGGAAATCAGTCACTGATTCAGTTACTATCAGTGACTGAATTTTTCGGTTACTAATTTCGGTCACTATTAACCATTTTTCTAGTAGTGTATGATCTCTCTGATTTTCCCATTTCTTTGTTGATAACAGACCGTTCCTTGACCTTTGACAGCTACTTTCGAAGCATCATCGAAAGAAACAGATTTGCACTTCACCTTTGAAAGTATTTTGAATAAGCACTCTTCACCACACATGTGATTACTAGCGCTGGTGTCCAAGTACCAAACCGAGTTATTAGAATAGTTCGGTTTGACCTCAATTTTTGGAATGTTTGTCACTATCAGCAATCCTTCATCTTCTTCCTCAGCAAGAAAGTTTGTTGGTTCCTCTTTTTTCTTCTCAAACCTACAATCTTCGAAAATATGACCCAGTTTTCAATAATTATAGTATTTTGCGGAGTAACATTCCTTGGTAACATGTCTTTTCTTTCCACAATTATAGCATTTTACCGAGTAACAATCCTTGGCAACATGTCCATTCTTCCCACAATTATATTCTTCCCACAATTATAGCATTGAATATTGTTTGTGTTTGTCCAGCCACCCTGAGTCTGTCCTTGACCACGCCAGTTCTGTTGACCGTCTTGCTCATTTCCTCATCCTCCTTTTTCTCTACCACCACGACCTCTATCTTTTCCTCGACCTCTGGTACTCTGAGCATAGAGCACCTTCTCCTCTTTTATTGTCGCCTTTGTCTGGAGAGTCTGTTCAAGGGACTTCCCCTTCTTGTTTTTCCTTCTTTACTCATGCGCTTCTAGGGACCCAACAAGCTCTTCAAGGGTGAGCGTTGACAAATCATTTGACTCCTCTATTGCGCACACGATGTTCTCGAAATCATCTGTCAATGACCTCAAAAAATTTTTAACAACTCGGTTTGATGAAAGACTCTCACCATTCTAATTCAGCTTGTTCACCACGATCTCCACCCGAGTAATGAACTCGGATACGCTTTCAGGCTCTTTCATCCTCATGTTTTCCAGCTCGCCCCTAAGGGTTTGTAGTCGAACTTGTTTCACCCGTTCGTCTCCTTTGTTTGCTTTTTTAAGTGTATCCCATGCTACTTTGAAAGATTTTGCGTTAGCTATCTTCTCAAAGCTAGATTTGTCGACGGCTTGGTATAGCAGATACAAAGCCGCCTTGTCTTTAGCTCGAACAACCTTTAATGCGTTCAACTGGGCATTTGAATATTCATCTGTGTTCGCCAGTTTCTCATACCCATTCTCGACCACATCCCAGTTATCTTGGGAGCCGAGAAGAGCCCTCATTTGTACCTTCCAGTTGTCATAGTTGGCGTCTTTCGTCAACTTGGGTAGCGGGATGTCATTGGTTAGACCTACCATTTCCTGTCAAGTGTTTGTACTCAACTCACACACCTCACAAAACTCTGAGTCGCTCATCTTTTTCTCAACTAGCACACACCGCATCGTTCTCTCTTAAGGCATGGTAGGTTCTCTCATGCTCACCTCACACACAAGTTTTGATGTCAATTTGTTGATAATAGGAAAACAAAACAACATTTAATATTTTTCCTAATATTCCAAATAAGTTGTTACAAGTATTTATGGTCAAAATATTTGTCTTATCAAATGTCAAAAATAAATCATGATACCTATTAAATAGGTTTATAACCCATTAGTTATACCATTCATACTTAAAACCATTAATATTATTATAGGAATACTAAATACTAAATGTGTAATTTAAAGCCAAGTGACCTGAGCAATTGGTCCTTTGCAGAAGAGACACCGAGTGTGACTCTAGTGAGGAGATCTTGAGTCTGCAAATTCAACAAATCTTGGTAAACATTAGCACTTCCCAGAGGCCACAATTCCAACAGCGAAATGAAAGGTATTCCTTGCTCCACGTTCACCAGACACAAATCAATGGTGTCCGTTAAGCTGAAATAAATAGCCTCAACTCGACGAGTGGTATTAGCCACAGTGAAATGTATGAAGGTGAACCTAGTGACATCAATGTACAAATCAAAAGTTGGAGGTTTACTTTTGTTGTCGTAGTTCCCATATGCAAAGTAACTTCTCACAATGTATCTCTTGTTCTTTCCCTCTCTGGGTTTCAAGGTGTAGCAATTTCTCTTCCCTTCTGGGAAACTTCTTAATGAGATAAGCTGCTTTTGAATTTGAGGTTGATTCTGAAGGGTGTCATTGGAAGATATGGTGTGAATTTCACCGTATTGGATATCATCATCTTCGTACTGCATGCGGGTCTTGTCAGTGTATCCTTCTTTTACCCCACAATCAATCCTTATCACATCTACAATAAAATTTTCATCAAGAATAACAAATTATATGTTTTATCAATTCGTAAACGTTGATAATAAACAAAGATAGTATATATGTACCTGCATAATCAACGTTGGCAAGCTTTCTTTGAGAAGGTTCATCGATTCCCGCGGCATGAATAATGGTTGATAATGAAGCACATGCTGCTACAACCACAATCCACTGCAACGCTCTCTCCATGTGTTTACACCTTCCCACACAGAAAATAAAACGATAAATGGAAAGAGAAGAGAGGTTGAAATCAACTCTTGCAGAAACCATGATCAGTGTGGAAGAAAGAATAATGCTAGTTCTGATTTTGAATGGTAGTTACACAAATTTGAATAGGCCATTTTTCATTTATAGGCCAAATTGATTATTACGCGTTGAAAATTATTCAAAGGAAGAAAATAAAAAACTTTATAATTTTCATTATTATAAGTGCATAAATTAAGCAAAAACAAAAAAAAAAACTACTCGTAGAAAGTGTTATATTTTTTTAAAAAGACAACTTTTTTACTGTTATTGAAATATAATTAATTTTATTTTTCAATTAAATTTTGAACTTCATTATATAAATTTATTTTTATTAAATATATTACATAATTTGAAGATGGAATTTTCAAAATTAATTAATGAATAACAAGTAAAGTAGAGTGTATAAATTTTATAACTAAATAAAATGTTTTATTATTTTTTTTAAAGCGTTGACGTGCGGTGACCAACTCACAAGTCTTATTGGTCTTAACAGCTATCAAACAGCTTGGCATACATTAATTGCGAAGTGCGTAGCGGAATTACACGGATACATGCCTTGACTTGGTGCATGATTTTTTTATTTAATTATTATTGTTGTTATTATTTTAAAAAAATCAATAAATTTTTGAGTGGTACCGTTTTTATAGAAAAATACTTAAATTATTATATTTTTCTAATTTTCTATTGTCATAAATATATAGATAAGGAAGAAATTATGGGTGCAAGAATAAAACAAATTATGTTCAGATGTTAAAAGAAGAGGATTGAATAAAAAGAACAGTAAAAGAAGAGGGTTGCAAGAAACCAAATTCACATGTTCCAGACGAAATTGAGCTGACAATTTAAAAAGCTAAAAAAAATTAAGAAATTTTATATTAATTTTGATCATTAAATATGAATAAAAGATCCAATAAATTTTTAAAAATAGTGGACGAAAGTAAATGAATTGAATTTGTTTACTTATGGGTTGACTAGACTAATAATAAAAAAATATATAGATGTAGCAATAGTCTTCTAAATATGAAGGATTCAATGGTTTCTCTTTAGTTTGAAGATGCAACACTTCACAACATGTATTTTTCCTGCAGCTGTTGTTTTAAACCCAAGTCTATTCCTTCTTCATATCAAGCCATATGAGAATCCACTAGCAACAAAGAGTTTGAAACTATGCATGCTAAATATTTGTAAGTGGCATATTAAAGAGATTCAATGTCGCAGGTATAGCTGATGATGCTTTATTAGAAGAAAACATAGTCCTTTGTAATTAAGCCCCTAATAGCATACCTCTTAAATTATGCATATCAGCATATCTATGTAAAATTGAAATGTAACACCACACATCCCTTTGCAGGGGCACCCCTAATGATACTGATACATAATAAGTGTCTCAAATAAAAAACTATACAACATAGAATTCATCCTAGACTATCCAAAAGTTGAGTAAAAATATTTTGTGAAGGCTCGTATGAAAGCAACATCTATATGAGTTTCTTCTTCAGAAAATAGCGCTTCAGATACCAAACTTGTAACAAAGAAACCAAAATGCAGATACTAATAGACATGATGCTATACCAAGCAACTCTGCCATTTGTTTTTTCACTAACTGCTCTCATCCCTGCTTCCCTGCAACAAAGTTCAAGAAAATGAATTTCTGTAATGCACTAATCGTCAAGCATAATGGTCGCAGATGACAGATATTGTTAATAGGCCCTTCAATTAAATGTAATTGATTCATATATTAAGTGATTGAAACTTTAAGCAGCCCAACTTTATCACTACAAAGAAGAGGCTAACTTGGTAAATGCTGCAGATTAATGGACCCTGGTAATCAAATGTAAACCAAACATAAAATATAAGGGATAGTATATTTACTTATCCTTCAGATAAACTAGGTAATTGTGGATGGCTTGCACTGAAATTTCAAGTTTCTTAAGCTCGAATTCAACACCCTTGAACAAAAGCAGAAAAAAAAACAATTAATTTAATCAGTGAATAATAATAAAAAAATAAAACACAAATATGTATCAATTTCACTTTTATATAGAATAAATAATATATGCATAGGTAAATAAAACTCTTTTTATACTATTATTGAATCAGAAACTATCAAGTATAATCAATTTGTTTTAAAAGAGTTTATTTACTTTTTTGGTCTTCACAATTTTAACAACTTTACCTTAGTCTCTAGTTTAAAACATCACATTTTGGTCCCTATAGTTGCATTTGTTTAACCTTTTGGTCCTCAGCATTAAGTTTGACTAATACTGTTTGAAGAAACATGAACGAAATTAAGAATAGTGGAGAAGCAAATTCAGGCCTCCTGTGCTCACTCGTAGGGACATAGTGGCTGACTTAAACCTTGGGTTCAGACGTTATTGAGTGAACAACGTGTTTTCACACCTTGTGCTCTGAGGACAATCCATGTTACTGTGTACGAAAACTCATCAAATCAACGGTCATACAAGTGATATTAGTCCCTGACCTGTGGACTGAGTAAATCCCATGAAAAAATGTGATTCACTTGTTCTGGTAGTTTTGGAGGCCCAAAATAGAGAAGATTTAAAGGATATAGTTAGAATATTAGAATATTATTTATAATATTATTTAGTTTATATTTTAACTTCTCTTTAGTGCTAATGGTAGTTTTTAGGGATTTTAGAATAACTTAGTTAAGTTTCGTATCACATTCAAAGAGAGTCAAAACCAGACACCATTATGTGTCATTGGAGATCCTTGATTTACACGATTCAGCATAAAAGAACCAATGCAGGTTGTTGAGTGAAGACAAGACTGTGTTGCATGCAGGGATAAAGGGGAGAGTATGATGTCAACATGACCTATGATAAGGGTTAGAGTAAAGGAAACAAAAGAAGTTCTTCAACAAGTATTGTTGGTTGACCAAATTGTGTTTTGGATTAATCAATTAATGAACTTTAGTTTGGTTTTATTGCAAGTTGTAATAAGGGTCCAATTAAAAATTTAGTTATCAGTATTTGGGAGACCAAGAGAGTGTATAGTTGATTGACTTTTGGATGGTACAATTTCAATTACAATCAATCATTAAGTAGTTTTTAATTCCTAGGTTAATAAATCATTATTAGCATTTATTTTTCTTTAATGAATATTTGTAACTCTGATGGAAAAACTTCTTTATAAGTTGAACCATTTTTATCAGAAATAACAAGTTGAGTTTTATTTTTAAAAATATTAGAGTTTATCTCTTTTATCTTAGTGAGAGTGATTCTCCTAAGTTCTTAAGTGATTCAAGAACAGTTGGCTGTATCAAAGGACTTTCACATCCTTTGTGAGTTGCCTTCCTTGGAAAGAGTAATTCTTTCCTTTCACCTTATCACTAAATTCCTAAATTTCCTACAAGGTTCTAACCTTAAAGATCCTAAATCAACCCTTGTGATTCATATCAGTTGGTATCAGAGTCTGGTTTAAAGGTTTGAACATCAAATTGATGGCAGTGAAGGATAAAAAGAAAATGAGAGAAAATTTTCTTCAACAAAAGAGAGAGAAAAAAAAATGTTGCACTTGAAGTGAGGGAGAGCTATTTAGTCATAAAAAGTGAGTATAATGTTAGTTCTACATTCAATTTATCAGACTTATCTCTTTTTTATGTAGATGACGAATCCGATTTGAGGACAAATCCTTTTCAAGAGGGAGAGAATGATGTGAACATGACCTAGGATAAGAGCTAGAGCAAGGGAAGCAAATGAAGTTCTTCAACAAGTATTGTTGGTTGACCAAATTGTGTTTTGGATTAATCAATTAATGAGTTTTAGTTTGGTTTTATTGCAAGTTGTAATAAGGGCCCAATTGGAAATTTAGTTATCAGTCTTTAGGAGACCAAGAGGGTGTATAGTTGATTGACTTTTGGTTACCACAATTTCAGTTACAATCAATCATTAAGTAGTTTTCAATTCCTAGGTTAATAAATCATTATTAGCATTTATTTTCCTTTAGTGAATCTTTGTAACTCTGATGACAAATCTTCTTTATAAGCTGAACCATTTTTATCAGAAATAACAAGTTGAGTTTTATTTTTAGAAATATTAGAGTTTATCTTTTTTATCTTAGTGAGAGTGATTCTCCTAAGTTCTTGAGTGATTCAAGAACACTTGGTTGTATCAAAGGACTTTCACATCTTTGTGAGCTGTCTTCCTTGGAAAGAATAATTCTTTTCTTCCACCTTATCACTAAATTCCTAAATTTCCTACAAGATTTTAACCTTAAAGATCTTAGATCACCCCTTGTGATTCATATCAGAATGTGGATTGTGGGCCGCCGCATGAGAGTGTGATCTCATTTGGTGTTGTGATACAAAACTTGATGCCAAGGACAGTAAAATAATTGAAACTATAGAAATTATAATGAGATGCTTTAAACTACAGGAACTACAAGGAAAAGGCGTCGCAATTCTTGGAACCGAAAGTGTAATTGAATCTTACAAATAACTATCTTAAAAGATATATTAAATAGTTTTCAAGTAATTGATAGCATAAACATTTTTGCATTATTGGTGCATATTAAAACTATTATATATATATATATATATATATATATATATATATATATATATATATATTTATTTATTTATTTATTTATTACAAAGGCAATGACAGAACATGAATGAAATTCATTGGTTTACCTCAATCTTTTCTTTCTTTGCAACAGACTCCCAATCTTTGGCAGCAATTCCAGTTTTCCAATCAAGGCTGATAGTTGCCTCTGCTTGATGTTTACTATCTAACCAAAAACACGCCACGTAGTTCCCACTCTCCTCTGTTGTAAATGCAAATTGACCTTGTGTGGCATTTTCATTGTGGTAAAGGCTATTCCCATAAGGAGATGTTACCTGGGAAAATAAACAAACCAAATTAAAGCAAATGATCACATTGAATCCTTAGAATTATACTCACTCTCACACCTTAAACCAATGTATTTATTTCACAAACATTAGAGAAATTAAAAAAGGGGCCTCAGTTCTCAAATCTGCAACAGGGGACTTTGACAGAAACTAGTCAGCTGAGAAATTTGTTTAATTTCAGAGTAGTCACAAGTCAGGACAGCTAAAAACAAGCACCCCTTAATCATTATTAACCTTGGTTCATTTGATTGGTACCCTGTTAATGGAAAAATTATTAGATACTTTCATACCTCTAATCAATCTTTAAGTTAGCTTCTCAATTCACGGAAAAAATTAACTATATTAGACTACGGATCATGTAGAGATTAGTTGAAAATGTTGTAATATCGGACTAGTCAGTAATATCTTTGACTTTCTTAACATCAAATCTACCCAAGTACAGCAAAAATTTAGCAAAGTTTGATTTCCATTTTATAAATTGTGAAAACACTTATAACCTAGAATCAAATTGGCCAACATGAACCAACGACTTTATTGGATTATGTCAGGAGGAGAGACCTATGGGTGGGAAGAAGCGCAAGGAACCAAACAATGACAAAAGTAGCCAGCAATGCAAGTCAAATTAACTAGATGGATCAAAAACGTATATTTTCTCATGGGTTGGGAAGATTAATAACACACCTTGACAGAAACTGTGTTGAGCTGGGGACCCTCTTCAGTAACCACATAATAATCGCCTAAAACGACCACGTTTTTCTGGATTTCCTCGGACAAGCACTTAGTCCCTGTAGTGGGGAGTGTAAACCACACTGCCTCTGCAAGAGGGAGCACCCAAAAGTGCGTGGTAAAGCATAACAACACCAACAGAGACACTCCAGTCCCAAGGTCCATTGTGCTCCGAGCCATCAGCCAAGGTTGACCTTGGAATCAGACACTACCTTAGATCTTGTCAAATTAGTATTGTGTTGTGATGTATGTCTCTTGCGTTTGGGTGAAAAAGGTTGATGAGTGGGTAGGTTTGGAAGTTAAAGTTTGTGTTGTTGAGAAAGGAAAACGCGAGTTTGTGATACCAGATTTGGTGTCAGTGACGCATTTGAAGCTTACATGGCTTTGTATTGACCAATCACGTTCGTTGAGGAAGGTCCATGTAAGAAAAGGTGCCACCTAAACAATGCCCTTTTGACGTTAATGTTGTGTTTGTTTGAACTGATTTGCGATGAAATACTGTTCACGAAGACAGAAGCACGAGATTCACCCAAATTTAGTTGAACAGATTTGCGAAGAAATGCAGGCGAGGAAAAGGGGGAGAGGGGAGAGAGACTTTCTTCGCTAATCTGCGAAGAAAAGAGACGAAAGTCTGCTGGAGATAATAAAATGTTTTTCGCTCCAATTATGATCGATCATTTCAAATTATGATCGATCAGGATCGTTTTTCGCTCGAGCGAGATATAGTCACTCGAGCTAAATGCAACCCGAGATCGAATCTTAAAATATTTTTTTGAATATTATGTTTTTAAATTTGTTATTAGAGAATACCTTTCGTAATTCAAAATGTTAAATACTTTTAAATATTAAAATTAACTTTATCAAAAATTAGGAAAACAAAATTTATCCAAAAGAGTTCAAAAATGTATAAGAGTATTCTCAATTTTGAGTTTAATTATATTGTTCATTCTCAAAGTAGAAATTTATATTGTAGTTATTTAATTGACATTTTGTGATCTTCTTAAAATTAGCATCAATAACATTACACTTGATCTTCTTAATTATATTGTTCATTCTCAAAGTAGAAAATTATATTGTAATTATCTTCAATTTATTAAAAGTGTAATTAAATCTCTATTTTCTTAATTTTTTTTGTTTCAAACTTCTCAATTCTACATTTTTGTAACTTCTATCATTATATTATCATCCTCATCTCCTCACATGTTCTACTTTATCTTTACAATAGTTAATATTCTTAAATAATCTATATTTTTAATTATAATTTTTTAATATATATTTTGAAATTAAACAATTCTAAGCTATTATTTGAAAAACTAATCAATTCTAATCAATAATTTAGAAAAATAATCGATTAGAATTAATTATTTGAAAAAATTATGAAATATGATCGATCATTTCGAAAATCTAATCGATCAGAATCATATTTTGCTTCGAGCGAGATATAGTCGCTCAAGCTAAACACAACCCGAGACTCAAGAAATTAAAATATGGTTGTATATGATAGCGGTTCCACTGGAACCGCTATCTAATATACACTTTAGATAGCGATTCATGAGGAACCGCTATTATATCCTCCAATTATGATCGATCATTTCAAATTATGATCGATCAGGATCGCTTTTCGCTCGAGCGAGATATAGTCGCTCGAGCTGAAATGCAACCCGAGACCGAATCTTAAAATATTTTTTTGAATATTATGTTTTTTAATTTGCTATTAGAGAAAACCTTTCGTAATTCAAAATGTTAAATAATTTTAAATATTAAAATTAACTTTATCAAAAATTAGGGAAACAAAATTTATCCAAAAGAGTTCAAAATGTATAAGAGTATTCTCAATTTTGAGTTTAATTATATTATTAATTCTTAAAGTAGAAAATTATATTGTAATTATTTTATCTCAAGTTAATGTGATGAGACGATCATCAACATTTCAACATTCGGAGTCAGATATATGGGACATCTTCGTCTCTCCCAGATTGTTCATGTTCTTGAGTGGAGGTGATTGAATGATCTGAACCTGAGGACTTGATCGCAAAAGATGAATAACATTATAATTATTTGTTTGAAGAGCATTAGTGTGCATAGGTTTATAATTTTAGTAATGTTTCATTTAATTATTATTCTATTTTCACAAGTATTTTATATTTGTTTAAAATAATAATGTACAATTATATTATTAGTTTTCATAATTATTTGTTATTATCTGGTCAATATTAATTATTATTTTATATTTTATAATTATTTAATTATTAGTCAAATAATTTATTTAATATGTCAACATTATTTGAATATGGATATGCAATGTACATAATTTTGTAATTGTTTATTTATATAATTTTTAATAACTATCTAAAAAAAGTTAATTTTTTAAATTTGTTTCCAATTACAAACACTTTTAATTTTGTTTTTTCTTTTAAATATATAATCAATGTTAAAATATGGATAATTAATTAAAAATTTATATTTATAATCATTTGAACCTTATTTTATACAAAGGGTAAAATGGTAATTTTCTTAAATAATCAACATAAAATTATAATTTTTATATCTCATATCAATCAAATCATTCACAATTTCCCATAAACTTTCCTTTCACTTTTCAATCATCTCCATTTCTCTTCAAATTCCTCCTTTTCCACTCTCTCAATTCCACTCTCTCAAATCACTCCAACCAAACAAAGCCTAAGACCGCGAATTCGGTAAAAATCCAAGGCACAGTATGTGATGGAACCCAAATATCATACAACAATCAAAATAATTTACTTTTGGATGTTATGGTTTACTGTAAATAAATGAAGTTGAAGGAAAAATAAAATAAAATTAGGATGTAAATCTTATTTCTAAGAGAAACAGGTGAGGTTGTGTTTAGATGGAGAATTTTATAATTTAATAATTATATATATATATATATATATATATATATATATATATATATATATTCTAATTACTTTAATTGATTTTTTTATTTTTTGTTTGAATACAAAAAATCATTTTCAATCCTTCGTTGTAATCACGTTTCAATTTATAACTTATGTTTAGATTTGTTATTAATTACCACCACTTACTTCATAATTCTTTAAATAAATCTCAATAACATACACTACGTGGAATCATCATAATAGAAATTTAATATTTTAAATCTTGTATCTGTATTAAATTTTGTGCTCTGATATGAAAAATTTACACAACTACATTGATTAAAACATATCAGATGTAAAAAGTGTAAATTTGCTGAATACACATAGATTCCAGGACCAATGTAGAAACGAAAAAATAACCAATAAAAGTTTGTTTTATAGTATATAGTAATCATTTGTAGAAATCTAAGTACAATAATTATTTAACAAAAAGGAGAAAAAAAAAAAATCAAAGTCCAACCATCACAAACTTATATGCTCGTAAATGATTCGTGTACATGATGTCTAATTCAAAGTTTGAAAATTTATGTCAAAGTTCTGTCATCATCAATGTAAAGTTTCAGCCCAGCTACATAAGATCTAATTAGACTTACAAAATTAGTTTTATTGGGTGCTTGCTATATAGCTTTTGAGTACATGGGTGGCAAATATCTTTATTAAATAAAGTAAGAAACTTGGTTTACAACCTTTTTTTTCCTTTTATATATGTTTATATTAATACTAGAAAAATAAGAGTGGTCTTATTTTATTTATATATATATATATATATATATATATATATATATATATATATATATATTAAAGAAATCAATAAAACTGTTTTGTTACATCTTCTATGAATGCTTATGTATGCTTATGTAGTTAAATTTGAGTTAAATATTATTACTTATTATTAAAGTTTTATCATTTCCACACAATTTTTCTATTGTTTTGTGTTTTTTTTTTCTTTTCTTTAAATAAGAAGTTTATGATATTTTGACTACAAAACTTTTAAATCGAGTTTTTAGATGATTTTTAATTCGAACATACATATGACATTTTATAGTGCAACTTTTATTCTTATGCTCCTTCAATATTATGTTTCATCTCTTTCATAGTACTTTCAAATAGAAAAAGTAATTTGCACATAATAGAGGGTTTACCCTTACTCTTGATAGTTTTGTTTCATCTAACAATTTTTGTAATTATATTACATCTTCCTCTAGATTTACAATTCTTGATTCTTGTTTTTTATTAGGACAATCAACAATTGATTTTAAGTAATAATTTTAGACATCGTACCAATAGACTTTTTCAATTTTTCAAATATATGTGTGGTATGTATTAATACTTCTTTCACCATATTATAAATAACCTATGAATCATAAACAATATCAAAATCAACGAAGTTAAATTCAAGTTACATATTCACATATGGTAAAGTAAATTTTTAAATAAGTTTTACTAATTTTTTATAAACGAACCATATTATGATTAAATGCAACTACAATTTTACTTTCACCGATTATACGAGACATCCATTGTACAAATATTGAAAATCGACTATTATATTCTTTACATATTTTTGTATTGTAAACTAGGAGATGTTTCATAGTCTATATCTAAATTAATATCAACAAAATGCATAATATTAAATCAAATTACTATATTAAAAGAAATCTAACAAAACATAAATCATAATTTAAGATTTACCTATAACAAAAACACACGTCCTATGACATACACTTGTGAACAATTTTTTCGCTTCCTCAAACAAATTGATATTTCACATAAACTTTTAAATCAAATATTCATACACAATTTTTCACCAATTATACTTTTCAAGACAAGATAAATCATCTATTAACTTAAAAAAATCCAAAATATACTTAATTTATTTGAGAATAAGTATGTACAACCTACAAAAATCATCGATATCTCTATCATTTTGACGTTTTACAAGTTCATTGAAAATCATTTCCAAAGTAATATGTTTCCCATTAAATAATTTACTAGTATGACAAGTTTTTTTTCTACAATTTTAACATTTTCGACTATTACACGAAGTCCTAAATCTAAACACATATCTAAGAGTGTAAAACCTACTATTTCAAACTTTATATTAAAATTTTCTCTCTTTTCAACCCATCTACTTATTAATTCACTAAGTAATATTATGCTAATTTTAACATTGTTACTCAATCACATCAACCATTTAAATAGTATTGACTTAATACGACCTTTTTACTCTTTTATTAGAATATTTTTCACTTCACTTAAATACTTTGTCCTACAAACATATTGTAAATATACCTGAAAATTACAATAAATAATTATAATTATCACCAATAATATCTATCATTTTATAAAAAGATACAATATTCACCTTTTTAACATTTAAAGATTCATCATGTATGATTCCACGTGTTTCCATTTCGAACTGCAAATATATGTAACCCTATTTAATTTAAGTTCATCCTATAGATCTAGCACATGCATTACTATGATGACATTTACTATAGATCCAACACATGCATACAACTATTTCATAAATGCAATAAGAAAAAACCATAAATCAACATCGATATCCAATAATTAAATTTACTAATTGAAATCATAAGCATTTAACATTTCTTACTAACACACCAGTACAAAGTCAATGGTGTAACTTTAGCTAATTGACAACAAAATTAAGTATTGTGTTACAAAAATTCATGTTAAACCTAAATCGACAACAAAAGTAACTATAATCTTAAACTTAAATCCACTAAAACTAAACATAACCCTCAATAATCAAAACTACGTTTAATCCTTAAACGAAAAAAGAAACTTTAAACCTCAGTCGGAAAAACTTAACCCTCAATCGAAAACACCTAACCCTAATCTCCAATAAAAAAACAGAGAGACTGACTACCACAAAAGAACCAATACAAGTTGCAACAGCGATAAAATACTGGTTGTGCGATTGAAATGAACTAATTGAAGCTGCAATACCATAAAAATAATCGTTGTGTGATTGAGAGTGATAAAGAGTAAGACGGATAATAAAAATGAAAGAGACAGTGAATGAGAAAACACCAAAGATTAAGTGAGACGATAAACACGAAAGATATAATGAGTAAAATAGGAGAGAAAACCAAAATAAATATAAATAAAAAAAATATACAAAATTGAAACCTATATAGTAAAAGACCAATAATAAAGATAACAAAATAATTTTATTATTTTTTACTAAATGTATGATTAAAATGAATTGTTAAAATATTGGTATCATTATTAATTTCTCAATTCTTATATTTATCTTTTTATTTTTAATTTGAACATTCAATTTCATGTCTTTTTCACCACCAAACATTTGTCTTTTTCTTTGTTTTTTTTAAGAATTTTTCATACTTGTTATCCAAACTTATCTTTTCAATATTTTTTTTTCACGTGCTTATTTTTCCTTACTCATCTTGTGACTAAAAAAATAAGACAACTCTTGTAATAATATAATAACATGACCAAAATATTCCTGTTACCTTTTGTGTACAGGTGTATGAGTGGTAAGCAATGAGTTTAAGGTTTCTTTACTCCACACTTCCACCGAGTGGACTTGATTTGTTCCATGTCCATGGCTACTCCACACTTCCACTCTCGCATTCTGGTTTCTTTACTCTTCCATTTCTTACTCGTCTTCTCCTACCTCCTCCACACTGCAACCGCAACCCAACATCACCAAGAAGAAGACAATCCCATCACGCGCTTCCAGCGCTACCTCCGCATCAACACGGCCCACCCCACCCCGGACTACTCCTCCGCAGTCTCCTTCCTCAAAGCCCAGGCCCATTTGCTGGGCCTGACCTCCAAGACCATCGAGTACACCCCAGGCAAGCCCCTCCTCCTCCTAACCTGGCCCGGCTCTGACCTCTCCCTCCCCTCCCTCCTTCTCAACTCCCACCTCGACTCCGTCCCCGCCGAGCCCGCCAAGTGGCTCCACCCTCCCTTCTCCGCCCACCGCACCCCCGACGGCGCCGTCTACGCCCGCGGCGCCCAGGATGACAAATGCATCGCCATCCAGTACCTCGAGGCCATCCGCAACCTCAAGGCCCGCGCCTTCTCCCCCCTCCGCTCCGTCCACATCTCCCTCGTTCCCGACGAGGAGATCGGCGGCTTCGATGGCGCTGCCAAGTTCGTCGAGTCCGACGACTTCCTCCGCCTCAACGTCGGGTTCGCGCTCGATGAAGGGCAGGCATCTCCCGGCGACGATTTTAGGGTTTTCTACGCGGATAGGGTTCCGTGGAACGTGAAGATCCGGGCCAAGGGAGTGCCCGGGCACGGGGCGAGGATGTACGATGGAAGTGCGATGGAGAATCTGATGGAGAGTGTGGAGGTTGTGAGTAGGTTCAGGGAGAGCCAATTTGATGTGGTTAAGGCTGGGAAAGCGTTGAACGCTGAGGTTGTGTCGGTGAATCCGGTTTATGTTAAGGCTGGTCTTCCTTCTGATGATGTGAGTTTGGGATTGCTTGATTTGGTTTGGTTTTGATTTGATTGAACTAGGATTTGGAATTAATGGTGTGTTGTTGTGCAGGGGTTTGTGATGAACGTGCAACCTTCGGAGGCGGAGGCTGGTTTTGATCTGAGGCTGACGCCGACGACGGACCCGGACGAGATGAGGAGGAGAATTGCGGAGGAATGGGCGCCGGCTGTGAGGAATATGTCGTATGAGGTGAGATTTTTTATGAAAAAAATTGTGATTTACCTTTTGAATCTTTATGTAATTGAGAATTCAGCTGAAAAAATGAAAATAGGGTCGATTGTTTGAAACATGGTGAAGAAAATTGGCATTTTAATTCGACATAGGAGATGAGTTGATTCACTAGGATTGGACTAATGAGTTATTATCCTTTTACCAAAAGTTGGCTGCAAAGCAAATGAACGGTCCTGATTTTCTTGCAAGATATTTGGTTTGGTGCTACTTGAGGTTACTAGGTTTTTTATGTTCAATGCATGTGTTAGTTTAAGGTATCAACTAATTTGTTTATTATTCAGTTGCTTCTAACTGAACGACAATCCACCATCTTAGTTCCTTCTACATTTTTACTTTGGAAAAGCGGGAAAGTTCTGTTGAATATCATTCAAACGTGAAAACAAACACGTCATTGCCAGTTTGTATGTTGTCATTGGCTGCAGTTTTTGTTCAAGTAGGAATTTGGATCCCTTGTTTATGTACTGAGACATTGCTCTGGTATGAATTTGGATTTCCGTTGCTTGGGTACTAGGACATTGTTCTGGTTTTGTAGTATTGTACTGTTTTGCATCGTGCAGAGGACGAAAACAGTTGCTAAGTATTTACGCTTTGTTTACTTTTGATTTCATTTTATGTTTTTACTTTTTAGTTAATTTTCAGTTTCAATCTATTTCCTATTTTCAAAGATTGGCATGTGTAAATTGCAAACCTTTATTTTTTGTTTTCTCTACTTTCTGCACAAATCTTCGAAAACAATATCATAATTTTGTAATTAAAAATTGGAAACATGAAATGAAAGTAGAAGTAAACAGACCCATTCCATTCCTGTTGGCTGTTATATAGCTCTTCATTTAACTTCTATGATACATGGTCCATCAAAATGACAGATAAAAATACTTACCTAGCAGAATAGCATGACTGTTTATGATTGCTAGGTAATCTTCAAAGTTACTGGGTAATCACAACCTAGGTAGGGATTATGTTTCTAAATAAAAGTTTGAAAGCTTTGTAAACTAGCATTTTTTTGTATGCTTGTATTAAAGCTTTAACTCTTTTATTGCATGTTGCATACTAAATTAATAGATTTTTTTTTTTTGTTGGTTCAATCTTGCTTCTGGATGCACCTTGTTGAAATTTAAGGATTTGGGTGGAAAGGAGGAAAGATTTTTGTGTTTGTGATGCTGACACAAAATGCTAATCTAATACTTGTATTTCTACTAACTAGCTAGTAAAACATCAACAATAATATTAACATTCTAACTTCCTCCCAACAACTATGGTTCAGTTAACCTCAAGCATGTTACCAAGTGTTAGTTAGAATGTATTAGAAATGAACATCTCAAGATAAATTCTAATACCATATTAGAAATGGATCGCACTTAACTCAACTCTATACAATTGGTGAGGTTTGCACTTCAATTATATATTATAATCTTACCATATCTCTTGTTGATATGTGATTTTCAATAGAATATATCAATATCTTTTTAGTGCATATTAGAATATTGTTAGAATACTATTATATGATGAGACTTGAGTCTCATTTTATATTGGAATTATGTTATTTTTCTGTGTTTATAATGTAATCTTTTAATTTCAAATTTGTGCCTATATATTTTCTGCAATGGCCATCCCACTACAGCATTTTCAGGGCTGGTTGGCTGCTACATGCCACCATTCAAGATTGATCACTATAAAGGGGATCAGGGACAGATCTATTTTAGAGACTTTGGGGGCAGTTGCTCCCACAATGTTTTTAATTTTTCTCACTATAATATATATGTTTGGTTATTATTTATAAATGAATTCCATATTTTGAGTGTAGTTAAAAAAATCTAAATATGTTGCCTCCTTTAAGTTATATACGTCAGTATTGCCTTCACAACTAAAAATTTCTGGATCCCGTAAACTGAAGGGAACCACCACATATTCCCACACTTTGTCCATAGTTGACAGGGAGCTCTATGGCATACCTACGAACATGCAGAAATAGCACATACCTTGTAATTTGGTTGTAACTGAATATAACACGTACCTTGTTATATGTTTCATCGGTGTAATTATTTAGAATCTCTGTTTTCTCCAAATCCATCTAATCCTTATAATTTCAACATAAATATTGTGGTGAGAGGAACTTTTCTTTGACGTAACAATATAGATGTAAATTCAATCCTTAAAAAGTATAATTAGCTTTTGGAGTTGGTGTTGATTACACTTACACCCCTCCTTGATTAGAAAATGACACCTTCCTCCCTTCGATATTTGAAGGCATTGTGTATGGGCCGTTCCCCATACTAGTGTTTGCGATACTGGACTTTTCTAGGTAGGTAAAATGGGTGCTATACTTATTCAGTTCACTATTTTGAATAATATTAGTGGCCTAGTATTGATTGATATGCATTAACTTCGAACTAAACTAATAATAGGTAGCTAAAGTTAAAAATATGTAAAACACAAGATAGAAAATACAGTGCCAAAACACTTTCAGATGTCATTAAACTAACAAAATTGCCAAATAATTTCACAATTAAAAATATAAATGTATATTTTCAATTTCAATTCTTGATTTTGTAGAGCAATTGTATCAAGAAGCCAGCCTTAAGAAAAAAAATCTGAGGCTCAAAAAATTAGTCTCTTGGATTACTGAACGGAAGGTTGCATTGGTTTATATACTAGAATTCACTACTTTTCATTTGTATGCTTCTCTCGGGTTAAAAAGGAAGAAAAATCATGAACTTAAAGATGAACGGTACTGACAAAGGACTGTGTGATACATATGAAAGGGTCACAAGAAACTGCAACCAAAAATGATTGATGTAATTTCTATATCTATAAAATATCTTAGGCTAGCAAGCAAGTCAACACAATATCTTGAACACTCTTATATTTGATGGAGAGGGATATGGTGGATATGAAATAGATTTGGAGTTTTTTGTGCCAATGGAATTCCATTCAATGTATGAAATCCTCTTTTTCGTGGACGAGAGGTCTTAAAGGCTACAATAGGGTCCTCCATAAGATAAGTTCAAGGCCATTAACTTTACATGATGAATTAAAGCAAAGCATAGGCAGAGGCCTTGTTTCTATTAGATATTTGGTATTCTCAAGTAGTTTTATATTTTCATGTGGATGTATCAACTATAAAAGTCAATGATTAACCATGGGAAAATTGCACCATAAAAGCTAGCTATTATAGTTGGAGAGTCCAAGGCCTTATAAATCCCACTCCCATACTTCCAATGTAGGGTTCAAGTTCCATATTTCAATTGGGTCCTAACGTCCCACCTCATGGTTGCAGCCCAGGTTGGCTATGCGCTAAGTGTTGGCATCGCTTGTTTACAACTGACAGACATGGTGCCAAACTGTTGAACCAATTGATAAAATGTTGGGAGAACCACACATAAGAGCTAGCCAGTATAGTCTGAGAATCCAAGGCCTTGATAACCTCATACTTGATCACAAAAGCTAGCTATCATAGTTAGAGAGTCCAAGGCCTTGCAAATGAATCCCAAAACTTAGCCCCTGATAAATGTTCTTGTAATAAACTGTTAATGAACTTACGTTCTTGTGTGTTGAAGACTTTTCTTAAATTGAAAAACAGTTACAGTTAAATAATATTTGTCAAAGCCATAGAAGAGGTGAGCCCGCTTAAATCATGGTGAGCTTCAAGCTGTTTCAGAACACTGCAGATTGCTATGTTTTTGGGAATACGATAAAACAAGTACCAAAACACATACTATGGTGTTTCAACTTTAGAATTGTAGTCATCTCGGTCCTCCCCATCCCACTATAGGGTTTTCGTGCTTCAGGCATTCTGTAGTGCCATTTGGCATTGAATGATGAACACCATGAATTTACAAGAGCTTGTAAGCTTTTTTAATAATGCTTCGTGGTCTTATTCTATTCCTTTATTTTGTTACATGTTTCTCGGTTGTTAAAACATAAAATCATTGTCTTTGCCATTAATTTCTTGCCTGTAATTTATTTTTGTCTTGTTTTTGGGCAACCATATTTGGCAGATTACTGAGAAAGGACCCATTAGAGACTACATGGGACGCCCGATAATGACTGCAACTAATGATTCCAATCCATGGTGGTCAGTTTTCAAGCAAGCTATCACATCTGTTGGAGAAAAACTTTCAAGTCCTGAAATTCTTGGATCCACAACTGATGCACGATACCTTAGAAAAAAAGGAATTCCTGTACTTGGTTTCTCCCCAATGAAAAATACTCCCATCTTGCTTCATGATCACAACGAGGTTTAAATAATTCTTTCAGTTCTTCATTATTATGCATTTCTCATTTCATTCCACATGAACTCTGCTACTCTAGTGTATATTTTTGTAACTCTCGTTATTTTCATTTTGCAGCACTTAAAAGATACTGTGTTCATGAATGGAATACAGGTGTACGAGTCTCTGATAAGTTCCTTGAGTACATTTACGGAAGCTTCAGCACATTAAATGCCCCCAGTTGATTATGGAGGGGCCTGAGTTTCTTAGCTCAATAGGATAACATAGCCTTTGTAGGGATAATCTGAGCCATTGGATACCTCCCTTCCCCCAACTAATAAGTGATGTAAAGCCATAAATAGCAACATTGATATCTGATACCTTCAAAAGGAAAAAAAAGGGGGTTTGGGGGGGGGGGGTTCTCTATTGTACTTATTGTAATGACCACGAAGATTTTATGGAGTTTATTTGGTCTCGATGTTAAATCATATATGATTGTCTATCATGGGCCAACTACCCAACCTAACTCACTACATTTGTCCATAAGTTTCATCCGTCAATGGTAAGTGAAATCTTCAGAAGTAAACCATTTGCTACCATAAATAGGTTAAGCTGTAGTTGAAAATAGGGGTTTTCATGACCCTTTTGTCCCATTAATCTGATTTGGCTCAAACTGACTTTTGTAAAGGTTGAGTTTAAGAAATTAGATTTTGCGAACTAATTTGAATTATGCTTAGAGTCATTTTAATTTGACTCATTTTGATGTTTTTTTTTTCAAAGCTCATTTTGACGTTTGAATGATTGGAAGTTGGTTATCTTATACTAGTTCTTAAAAACTCAACTTTTCATAACATCTTTAAAAGTTTAACCTACTGGTACTTAAAAGATTAATCTACTTGGCAGGCACATAAGGTACATGTGTATCAAATCCATTGTTTCCATGGTGACTCATTTCTAATTTTATGTCAGACGATGTATTTTCCTCTGCTTATCCTCTCATTCATCCCAAGAACCATCATCCTTCATCTTAAACAATTCCAAAGCATCGTCTACAATTTCAAAACAATTGTAGGTTGCACTGTTGCAGTGCATGGACTTACCCAGTCCCCACCATCTCATCAAGAAAATTATCAATATCTATATTATTCCTGAATCCATTCCCCCTTCCCCATTTATATATCAGGATTATTCCGATTGAACAACCTCAAGTTTAATTAAATCGTATCTATCCCATCAAAATTCGTTACCCATTTTGTTTTTGTCGTGTTCAATCATTCTGTGTTGAGCTGAATGTGGAACTCAACTGGGACTATTTTAAGCTCGAATACTGATAATAACGATAGTTTACTAGAAAATGTCAAAAGAAGAAATGGGACTTGTTCCGTGCATGAATTTTTCTGATAGAATAGCATCTATGATGTTAGTTCGAATGTCATTATTCATGTCTTTGCATCATCTTGTCTTTTCATCCTTGTATATCTATGCTACTCACTGTTATGTCAAGACAAATGAAATAAAAAAAAATGAGGAGAATATGCAAAAGGAAGAAACTAGAATGGAAAGTCCTTATTCATTATCTACACGTACATGACAAAAAATTTCCCATCCATCTTAAAATTAAAATGGTCAATCAATTATTAAGTTCTTGTAGTTCGAGGGAAAAAAAAACTTTTGTATTAATTATTTTTGTTTTGCTTTTAATTACAAAAACGTGTTGATAAACAAAACTTTAAATTTATTTTCTGATTTGCTTTTTGTTTCACTATTTTCTACAAAAGTTTTTAAAAACAAACGAGGAAATAGAAAATGTTTTCCAAATCCCTTGGAATGATTTCCACGATGGAGATACAATTTAAAAAAAAAAAAATGGATCATGTTGTGTAGTACGAAGTAGCATAGGAAGGTCACTTAATGCTAGTGGATGAAGATTGAAGATGAAGTTGGTGTTGCTGGCCCCATAAGACGTATATTATTGCATGATATAAAAAACAGCTATCAAACACTGGCTATCACAATGGATATGGTTGTTGATTTGACACTACCCACTGCTACTACATTTTTTTCTTGGAAGTTTCACTCTATATCCTTTCCCTGTAGCAAAACAGAGAATTTGAGATTTAATACTCATCATAAGTTTCAAGAATATATTTTTTTCATGAATTCAACACCCCACCCCACATGGATTTTGCCTCTTCATTCCCCTGACCCAACAACCTTCCAAATATAAAATCATTGAGTGTACTTTCGCCCATACCTCATTTTGCACCATCACAATCTCAATATCTTCACAATTGTTAACCATTTGATTTGTTTAGTTTATAATAAGAATGAGATGACACTATACAGTTTGCAATTCTCTCTCAACTCCCAAATGCATGCATGGCTCTTAGGTTAGGTCATTTCTAGGGCAATCAATGTATGCATGGTATTCAATCCAAATGACCCCATAATTTATTTGGTTGTCGTTTTCTAGGGTTTCTGAGTACGGAAGGTCCCTTAGTCGGTACGGGCCAGTTAGGAAAGAGAAAGTGCATTAGGGTATGAAACTTTCTTCAGTATCAAAATGCCACTACCATGCATTATAATAACATCTACGGTCAAGGAGTTCGGCAGCATAATAATGGCTACACGTTTTCTATATTGTTTTGGTAATATAGTCCACGACGTGAAGGAAAGAAGCACACAAAATAAAGTTTAGGTTTGATTTCAGCGTCCACAATCTTTTGTTCGGTATATGTATTTTGTGAGTGTGTCCATCCATGGTTTGGAGTGTGATGGGTTTTCAAAACAAGGCATTGCCTTTTGTTGGAAGGAAATTGACCAGTTTTAGACTTGTGGAAAGTTGAAAATAATTATTTTGGATTTTTAATTTCACTAATGAGTTTTTGGTCCTTTTTCTGGATTATAAGTGTAATTTTCAGAGAGATTTCCATTATATTATATCATTGAATGAAAGATATTCGACACTCAATTTACTCATTACATCGATTATATATCAGTTAATTAAGTAAATCACGATTTCTAAACAACACTATATAACTTTGCACGTTTTAAAGTTTCAAGATTCAACTACATCTAATAAAGAATTTTCACCGTGACGATGTTCACGACTTCACATGCATGGTAGGTAGCCATCGAAGTAATTAAGGCAAATTCCAGAAGGTCCAGCTAATTTTCCACAAAATGGCTAAAACCCATTTGGAAAAATAACGAAGTTTCCTCATAACTTTCATCGAACTAGATCATGATTTAGTTAAATCACAAAAAATCATAAACTAAATGAGTGTGGCAAGAATGAATATATGAGAATTAATTATTAGACAGCATGTCAAAGACCGTACCCTAGATGCCACCAAATTAAAAATTATTTGCATGTCAATTTATTTTTCAGGTTGAACTTTAGAATTGGCCATGTGAGATTACTTGAAATTTGATGCATATTCTGTGTGTTCCACCAGAGCGTGTCACAAGTGCTGAAGAAACAGAGAAGGTGGAAAGGGTTCGTACGGATTTGACGACAGTATTTCCTTCACACGTGCACGTTCATCTTGCTATCACACTTTCAAAATAACAGATGATTTTCGCAATTTCAATTCTCAAGTTGTTTTAAATCATTTTCTCTATCATGTTGTAATAACCATAACATAAATTAGTTTAAGGCAATTATCACTATATTATCATTAAAAATATAAACTATTTATTTAATTAAAAATTTAAGTGCTTTAATTATATATATTGTTGAATGGTGGATGAAGAACTTGAAAGCTTTATGGTTTCAGTGCCGAACTTCACACTTGGTGTATGATAGTTTGTCGTAATGTTTGATAATGTGTTTTTCACATTAAACTTTATTCATTTTTTAAATAAGCTTCAATTAATATTTAATAAAAAGATAAGATTTTGATAGTTTCTTTGAAAGTCATGTTATTGGCTATGTTAAAACAAATTATCAACTAGTGTCATTAATTACATTATTCTAGTTTGTCGGGGAAAAAAATCAATTACAACTTAAAACTTAGTAATCTATTTTTTAGTTTTGCGAAAATTACGTGAAAAAGTTAGAAATTTCTTTAATAATTAACTATAATAATATATGTTATGGTATAGAAATTATAATTAAGACTGAACATCATAAGAATTTATCTTATTCTTTATTTTTACTTAATTAATATATCATTTAACGATAAACCTATAAAATAATCTTTGAATTTGAATAGAAATAATTTATTATATATGATAATTTATCTTAATAATATTATTTTAATTTAATGGATTTAAACTTGAAACATTAGTATTGGTATCCCTTTTATGCAAACAATATGTACTCTGTGAGAGAGATTTCAACCACCATAGCCCTAATGTTCACTCTAAATTCATGTTATTCCATAAGAGAGAATTGCATAAACATGGATAAGATTCGGGATGACAATTAAATCCGTCCCCGTGAGGACCGATTCGTCCCTGCTCCGAATTTGACGGGAAAACTCGAGTTGACCGGGGCGAGTTCGGATTTTCCCGCTTTAAAAGTCGAGGCGGAGGCGGGGATGGGTAATGCAATCCCCACCTCGACCCCGTCCTCGTCCCTGCCCGACTTTATATTTAAATTTAAATTTTAAAATATTAATATTTTAAAATTGTTTTTTTTTCTTTTTCTATTACATATAAAGTCAATTTTTTATATTTCACCAAATTATTTTTTTCTACCCACTTTTTAATTTTTTGTCTTTTTTAATCTTTTATATCAATTAATTTATTACATTATTCTTTCTCTTACTTTTGAGTTTTTCACATTTCCTTAATCTCTCCCATCAATTTATTTTTTTTTTCAATCTTTTCAACCAATTTGATGAACACAAAGTTAATTTTTTTTTATTCTTTATCTTTTTCTAAATATTTTACATAAATCTTATTAGTAACTAATATTATGTTATTTATAATTTATATTTATTAGGTTTTATTATGTCATATTTTTTTATCTTATTATTCTTATTTATCATATATCAAATTTTATCTTAATAAAATAATTGTATTTTAAAGGATTAAAGGAATTGATAATTTAAATTTTTATTACTTCGAACTAATTGAATAAGAATTAACTTATTAAATATTTCCTTATAAACTATATATTTCATATTTTTAAATGACAACTTAAAAATGAATTAACTTATATATATAATCAAATGTTTGAATACAGTATTATAATAATAGTGTTATAAATATTCAAATATTTG